CTCTGTCTCTCTACCCTTTGTTGCCCTATCTACCAAATTAATAAAGCTACCTTTAAAAATAAAAGGAGAGGGCCCAGCGCGGTGGCGCAAGTGGTTAAAGGTCCTCGCCTTGCACGCCCGGGATCCCATATGGGCGCCGGTTCTAATTCCGGCAGCCCCGCTTCCCTTCCAGCTCCCTGCCTGTGGCCTGGGAAAGCAGTCGAGGACGGCCCAAAGCTTTGGGACCCTGCATCTGTGTGGGAGACCCGGAAGAGGTTCCTGGCTTCGGATCGGCATAGTATCGACCCGTTGCGCTCACTTGGGGAGTGAATCATCGGAAGGAAGATCTTCCTCTCTGTCTCTCCTCTCTGTATATCCGCCTTTCCAATTAAAAAAGTAATAAAAATAAATCTTTAAAAAAAAATAAAAATAAAAGGAGAGAATGGGATTTGCCAAATTAAAAGAGTGGTGCTATACCTGCCTATGAAGAGAAGCTGCTTTATGTTCAAAGCTCACTGCCTGAGCCAAGAATAAAACTCCAACTCAGAAAATATCCTTAATGATCTAGCACTAGTGGACCATGAGTTCCTCCAATCAAGTGACCTTCACTGATTATTTCCATGGTAACAATTCACATCCCAAACTGTTCCTTCCTGTGTGGGAGGAAGCATTTTAGAAATGGGAGAAAGCAGAATTTCACCATGGTTTTCTCTCTTCTGACCCTTCTTCTTTAGCAAATTGTGTCCTTTTTCTGGACACAGCGGTCTCCTGAGGAAACAGTCCCCAGAAGAGGATGTTTCTATGACTCTGTTTGCAGATGCGTGTCCAGGATACATTTCCATAAAGTAGAAGCATGGAGTTGCTTTATTTTCATGTGACATCGAGAGCTTCACAAGGCACTTCACCATTCTGTTCGGGAACATCTTCCCCAGGAGGAAGGCTGGCTTGTCTTCTTCATGTAGAAGAAGGAAGTGAGAGGTTGGGTTCTTTCCTTAGACCTACAGAGCGGTATCACAATAGAGTTGACCAGGAAGCTGGACGCAATGTTGCTTAGTCTCGCCCCACTTGCCTTTCCACCCTACTTTCCTGAATCCCAGCCCATTCCAAGCTATCAATCCAGTGACTTGCATGTCCTCTAAGCCTCCAGTCCCTGACATGCCTTTCGGATTTCTCTAACATAGTGCCCAGATTCCATAATAAAGGTTATAGGAGGAGCATTTGGTATAGTCCTGGACGCTCCTGAAGATACCAGCATCCCAGTTCTGGCTTTCTTCTGGTTTGAGTTCCAGGCTAACATGCACTCCGGGAGGCATTAAATGATGGCTCAAGTGAGTGGGTGCCTGTCACTCACATGGGTGACCCGGATGAATTCTCACCTCCTAGTCTCAGCGTGGCCCAGTCTTAACTTCTCCTGTCTTATCCCCAAATGTTGTATATATCTGGAGAATAAACCAATGGATTTTCTCCTTTTTTCTTTTCTGTCTCCATCTCTTCCCATTTTGAAATAAATTTTAAAATAAATTAAGGGAATAAAAAAATGCATGCTGTATCTAGACTTGGATAATAAAATGCGTTTTAAATTCAGTATACTGTTTGTTTCACATGTCTAGGGGAAGAACAGCATTTTACAGGCTGATAAATGACCCTGCACTGGCTGAGCCCCGAAAGTGCATGTCTGACCACAAAACCCTACACTGAGTGCTCTGAAATACACCAAGGGGTCCACTTTTCAACCAGGCAGAACCAAAGGCCAAGAACACTCATCACTTGGCTCCACTTCAGCCGTTCCCAGTAGTTTGGATCCCATGATGCTGTCCACGAAAGAAATGGTTGTTTTTTCTCTAGCATCCCTGCCTGCCTCTGACGTACAAAGGTGTAATTAGAACAGCATGGATCAAGCAGGATGATCCATTTACCTCATCTTTCACAACGAAATGCTTTAAAATATGTTTCTAATATCCTAGGTGCAGGAGCCAAATTCCCTTCTCAGTTGTACACATGCATGAATAAGCCCATGTAGAGCAAACCCCTTGGGTCTTAGGTTCTGCTTAGAAGTTCCCAAGGAAGAAAGAAAGAAAGAAAGAAAGAAAGAAAGAAAGAAAGAAAGAAAGAAAGAAAGAAAGAAAGAAAGAAAGAAGAAAGAGAAAACAAATATTCCATGAAACAACATAGTGTACTCTGAGTATTTTTAGGACAATTATAGTGCAAAATTCCCTCTTCTTTTGTCTGTGCAACAAGTCTTTCTTAACCATTTCCTTACTCAGAATGGCAACACTGAGCTAGAATAAATTAAAGGGCTTTCTCTTCTTCTAAAGCAGTCTTCTATTCTTATATTATCTAAAGTGTCAGATCTTGAATATTATTTGGGAAAGTTCCAGGCTCTCCCCTACCATGTCAGGGAACCCATTAAACAGATAGTTATATATGAGGCTACTGGAAGCCATGACTTGAACAACAACAACAAAAAAAACCTAAACTCAGAGGAAATAAAGAAATATAAAAGGAAGAATTTTTTTTTCTATCTGTTTGAATCAAAAATGGGTCAGGAGTTTTTGGTAATTTTCTTTTGATCACATAAGTAAAATTACAAAGGGGAGACTGCAGCAGGTGGGACACACCTCAGCCAGTGGCAAGAGACAGAGGGAGGCCAGGTGGGCAGAGCCTGGCGGTGAATCAAAGAGGAGGGAGAGACGGTCTCAATGTGGACCTTGTGTTGCAGGACACTCCCATGTTACTAACTATACCGAGATTCCTTGCCTGTTACTCTGGGGTGCTAGGACCATGTGCGGACAATATTTGCCAATTCAACCATAAATCCAAGGTTTTCTTGCAGCAGCATTTGGTGCACCATCTTAGCAGCAATTGCCATGTCACTCCACATGGAAGTCCAAAGCTTCCACAGACACAAAATGTAAAAAGAAGTTGATGTAAGATTGTTTGGCATTTGTTTCCATTCATTGCAAAGCATATCAAAGGTTGAAGAAGCCACATCTCACTCACCCCATAGTCAAAGCGGAGAAGAGACAAGCCTTCAAGAGCACCTGGCTTAGCAGATGAACCAAGACCAGCTGGCTTTGAGCATATATCTGTGATGTCTCAGTAAGTAGGAATTATATTTCAAAGATATTAATAATAGAACCCCAGGACTTCACAGGGAAAATGTGTTTATTTAAATTAAAAAATATTGTGAAAATTACAAACCATTAAATACAAGACAATTCCGTACAACTCAATAGAATAAGAAGGAAGTCTATACATCACGTTTTAACAGGCGCAGATACACTCGCACCAAACTTCAGGACTGAGCAATGGAAAATGTGACAACACACATGTCCATCGCAGTGAAGTTTCAGAATTCAAGTGATTCCAGGCAAGGGGCCAAACTTAGCTTGGCTTCTTTCAACTTCAACAGCCCCCTTTGGAGTAAATCCACACGCTGGATTTTAAAGTGAACGGAGGGCCATTTTCCCCAAACATAAATTTCCTCTAGCTCTGTGTCAAAGCGAACTGACAAAGCAGCTCCTGCAGTTAACCCTTCCATGGGCGTACTCACAGCGGCTGCATCTCCAAGACAGAGAGAGCTCTGTGTTGGTTCTATTGTTGCTTTTTTTTTTTTTTTTCCCTTTGAGGCAGACTTTTTTTTTTTTGGCTAGAATTTCCCATTTTGATGTACTGTGTTTTCTCCTTGTCTTCATCAGCTTCAAGGGTCTGCTGTGAAGTTAGTGACCACAGCAGTCTGCAGAGACCCAGGAGTAGGGATCTGTGTGTTCTGCTTTAAAAACTCCTCTTTCTCTTGGCCAGAGGCATAGACAGTCCACTGCTTAGAGAACCTTGCAGGGGACATGTGCTGTCTGCCTCCGGCTCCATCCTGGGAGATGCAGAGCAGGGCTGCGACACTGACTCACGCTCCAACTCCTCACCACATGAGTTCCGATTCTCTCCAACTGCTCCTTTAAACCAGTAGATTCTAGACTAACTGGCCAAAGGGGAACTGCTTGGTCCAAGCTTCCTCACATCAGGCCATGGATTTTAAGTCACCGTCCTAAAATCTAAAGACGCCCTCCCAGCCCCCTGGGACCGCAACCTCACAAAGGCAGTGAGCCTGCTGATGACATGCCGAGGACCACACAGCAAACCAACATCAGGAAGTACAGAACTTGGACCCCAGCTCTCTGCAGTCTCTGCTGGAGCATGCCCTTCCAGAACTCAGCTACGTGACGGAATCCCACAACGGGAGGCCCTCAGTTACAGCCTCTTGCAGCTCAGAAAACGAGGCTGGGAACATGAGCAGCAGCAGAGCTAACAGCCTGGCCTTGTTCAAACCCACCATTATCTCTTCTGGAATGATCTGGAAGATACTGAATGATCACAGGTCAGAGAGTCAAGGTCGTAGGTAAGACAAAGGGTCAGAATAGCACAACATCTGTTATAACCCCAGCCCACATGAACAGTTTTAAAAGTTGCTTTTCTTTCCCATTAGTTGCAAATGGGCTGAAGTCAGACATCCAGCTCTCTCCCATTAAAAATCCTCCATCAAAATTTTCCCCCTTTAATCCAGAAGATCTCAAAAGAAGCAAGTAACTCACTGTGAGCTGATGCCACAGGTACACAGTAGAGATACAGCCAATCAGATCTAGATGAACAACGCTCTAGGCGAATTAGCAAATCAAAACTAGTGCCCCAGAACACCCTGCGCATTTGGCAGCCCTGAGAAGGGCTAAATGCTGCTGGAATTACTCAGGGCATCCAGGGAGAAAATGACAAGTATATCACGTGCCAAATTCTGAAACTCCATCACCCAGACCCCAAAGTCAACATGTGTTTGGGGCCTTTTCAGTGGTAGGTTCAGGAACTCCGAGGAGTCAGGCTGAGCCTTGTCCCTCACCCAGCTCTAATTCAAGAGCTTGCTGACATTTCCTCAGAGTGGCAGCTGCACCGAAGTGAAACCAGACACTTGAAAAGCGTCTTTACCCTCTCTATGGGCGCTGGCTGGAGGGGCCACCTGCAGACTTCCAGGGGTGCTAGGAGTGCTGGTGGATGTTCTCTGAGGAGCCTTCGCTGCTTTCGTTGGGAGGCGTCTCCGAAGTCTCCTCTAGCTCATCGTCGGCCCCTTCTTCCTGGATGGTGAGGTGCACGTCTGGGGAAGAGGACTCAGAGCTCACGCTGTCCCCTTCCATGGAGCAGAGGGTGCAGGACAGCGCAGGCGCCACACTCTCCTGCAGCACGTTGAGCATCATGGGCACCTGCACCGACCTCAGGCCCGACACCACAGGCAGCGGCTTCATGGCCTCCCCCCAGAGCCTCTCCTCATCTTTGTACAGCAGCAGGAGGCTGGACTTCTTCTCCCTTCTCTTGGATTTCATGTAGCCCAGCATGATCCCAATTAAGAAAATACCATAGAAGGACATGACAACCAGAATGTAAAAGTACTCGTTGCCGTTACCGCTGCCACTGCTGGGCACATGCGACTCGAGCGGGCTGCTAGAGGCCACGGCGCTGGGGTGTGTGCTGTTCAGAAGTTCCATCTTCAGCATTGAAAGGCTGCTTAAGGCCGGGATCTGGGGGAAAAGCTGCAGGTTAGAGCTCGCCCACGGATCCATTGAGCCCATCCAAGAGGGCAGGCGCAAGGGTTGTCGAAATGCAATGTCAAAAAAACTTATAAGAGCATCAAAGAGATAGCGTAAGAAACCCAGCCAAATGGTTAATACGGGTTGGCTAGGAGGACTGGGAGTGCACGGGGGAGAGGCTGGGCTGGTGGGAAGTCAGAAGGACTTTCACTTTTTAAAAGAGTGCATACTCTGTACATGTCTGTCCTGCGTGAGTTCTATAAAGTTTTAAGCGTACATTGCTTTAAAATATTTTCAATTTAATGTAAGACAGAGAAGCATGAAATGCTTTTTTTTGCCACAATATAATAAATCTTTAAAATAATACCTTTAAAAAACAATTTTAACAGAACAAAAGCAAAGCTTTTGCGTCTAAAGCTTAAAACTGTTTGTAACTCAAAGTTTTCTCAGAACAAAGAAATGAAACAGGAAAAAAAATCGAAGAAAGGAAGGAAATCTCCATCTGTAAATTATTAGAAGTACTTCTCTTTGAAATGTTTAGGAAGCAAAGTAATGTTGCTAACTTACCGAAGGCTGACGTTTCGTCCCAAGCCCTGAGTTCCTAAACGGTCAAGTCCGAGGACGTTCCTCCTCTGTGTCTGGCTCCCCACTCTGACAGCTCTGCTGCCGCGGTTGGGATATATAGTCAAGAAATGCATCGTCACGTGTTCTGGGAGGAAAATTTACAACAGAGGTTGCTCGTGGCAGCACAAGCAGTGGACTCAAAGCACTGCAGTTCAACTCCCTGAACTTTGCAGCTGTGAAAAGAAGACGACTGGGAAGTGGGAAGGGCTCCTGACGCCTCAGTATGGAGCCAAAGTTTTCAGGTGGTTGTGAAAATGAGAAAAAGAAGAGAAAAGAATGACTAAGACAGAAGCCTCATCCTGAAGCCCGCGCTCAGGGGAAATTAGCTTCATCGCCCTTCTTGAAGAATAACCATCTGCTCCCCTCTGAGCTTTCAGAAGCAAAGTCCTAATTTAAAAGAAAGGCAGTGGGGAGCAAATACAGTTCTCTGCTACGCACATTAATGCCTTATGCCCTTCCTTCACCTTTCTGCCCCTGAGATCCTGACCTGTGAAGTTGTGGGACACAGAGGGCTTCAGCAGGTAAAAGTGTTTTCTCATCTTGCTCATCTTAACCATTCCATGATACGCTTTCAGGCCAGCTGGTGCAGGTTAGGCTCTTAAAAGCACAGACAAATTCTACTCCTCTTCCACAGAGAACTCACAGATCTATTTTTCAGTAATGATTTTTAACATTGCAGAAGTTTTACGGGGAGGCTTGGCTCAGCTCATTCATGTTCCTCAGCAGTTCACCCGGAGACAATCCGCACATTTCTTTGCTGTCTCTGGCAGATCAAGAAGGAACAGGAATGCTTCCGGTGTGCACCTGAGCACAGTCCAATCCTTGCAAACCTAGACAGACGCTTTGTTAACGTGATTGCTGCTATCGAAGTTGGAAGGAGAATTAAAGACTTTGATGCCAGTCCTCTGTGCCTTGGGATGCTTGTTCTCAGAGGCTCTCATTCTAAATGGAAGTAAACTGGGAAGGTCCTCAGCCTCAAATTGTCCATGGCCAACGAATCGCAGCCAGATCATCTTCCATCTGGCTGTCAAGAAAGCACCCCTTGCAGCTCTGCTGTGAAGCCGAGGGAAGCAGCACAGCCTCCCTTTGACCCTTGTGGAACTTCCATATCCCAGACACTGCAACTTCACTTACAGGAGCAGGGTTAGCTCCTGACTCCAACTGTAACTAAACACCTATAGAAACGTGTGAAGAAGAGCACACAGTGCTGTTTTTCCCACTGCAGTTGTCTCTACTGCTTTGAGCTATGTTCACGCATATAATGCCAATTGGCTCTGAAGCACCAACTGTTCCTACACCAAGAACACATACAGTGCAACCAAGATGCATTGTTTTATCAATCTATAAAAAGCACCATGGCAACCCACATCTCTCATAAGCATTTTCAGATGCCCATAGGCACCTCAACTAAGAGTGGGTGTCTGGGACACTAGCACCAGACTAGCCTGTGGATCCTTGACCCCAATGTTCTTGGATGTGTGCCTTTAAATGAGCAACCAGCCAGCATTTTCAAGCAGAATTGGGACAGTTTGAACACAATTTGTCCCTCACTCCACAACTCATGCAGGCATTGATACTCAAAAGCGTCATGCTCATGATTAATGGAAGAAAGGCCGTGGCCAATAGATTAAGGATGCAGGCTTAAACCAACAATTGTGGCATCTGGGAGGTGGGCCTAGTGGGAAGTCGTCAGCTTGCAGGTGGTTTGGCCTGGAGAAGTTGATTACAGTTGATGAGCATTGCCCTATCGCTGTCATGTGACCTGCCCTCTGCACGCACACTGCCATGTTCATCAAATGTCAGGCTAACGGGGCCACCTCCTCTCCGACTGCGAGTCTCCGAAACCGTGAGCAGGAATAACCTTTCTGCTTTCAATAGTAGCTCCCTGCCAGTGAAAAGCGACTTAACATAACTGTGAACTACAAACTAAGAAGGCAGAAAGGAGAAGGGAAAAGATTCTAAGAGTAGAAAGAACCAAGTGTGGTGCCAGGGAGCAAAACAGCCTGAGGCTTCAAACAAAATAAGTTCCTAAGCTGAGCTAATGGTCCAAAGGCAGTAAAATCATGAAAATGCCTGGGTGCAGAGACAAACACAGAATAAAGTCCAAATGACAGAGCAACACAGCCTCTGCATGAATCATGGAGGTAACTATCCAGGAGACATGCTGCTGGGTGCTGGCTGCATGTCCTTGCTATCTGATTCTCGTTGGTCCTGCACATGGGTGTTAAATGAAATCATACAAGTGACTCACTTAGCACTGTGTGGTAGAAGGCGCATGCTCAGGCCACTCCTCTGTTTTCATTGATGAGAATGTCCAATTGCTTCCATGGACTTCTGATGCTTCCTGATGTGCCGGCACCTGTCTCCAGCAGTCTCATGGCTGCTCCCTGTTTCCTTTCTGCCATCCTCAGGAACAGAGTTTAAGATGGGAGACTTGTAAACACCTAACACATGGTTCCAGCTTCTCCTCAGCCCTCTTTCAGGAAACTGTTGTTAAAATTATGGCAGAGAATAATGGCACAAATAATGAAAAGGGCAAGGAGAATATCTAGAAAGCATATATCATCTGGGAGAAGATGAAGGCACACAAGGAAGGGAGTGATTGGATCTGCTCTGTGCCACAGTCTCCGCAGAAAGCAATGCTCAAGACATAAATCCATTTTACAAATACTTTTTCCGACTCAGGGGCTGTATTTCTGGCTTTTGTTTTTTCACAATGTGTTTTTAAAAGTAAATGTCACTTAATACCGACAAGGCATAATTTATTTAAAATTTTATGGCTATATTTTCTGAAATCTGTCTCAGAAATCTTTGCTTAATCAAAGGTCATGACGTTTTTCTTTGATCTAGAAGTTTTATAATATCATAGTTCAGGTTTACACATTTAAGCCAATGATGTAAGTAATCTAATTTTTTCCATGCTGTCGGAATGGAAAATGGATGCTGTCAGGATGTATATAGATGACAAATTACTCCAGCAACATCTGTTGTAAAGCCAAAAAGATCAACCTTTTACTGTTGAATTATCTTACAACCTTTGCCAAAAATCAATTAGCCATATGTGGATAGAATTATTTCTGAGAATTTTATTCTGTCCCTTTGATGTATTTATTTGTCTTTGCATTGATATCATGCTATTTTGTTTGATCTGTTTTAGCTAGTATTTTAAATGAGTCTAAAATTGCTGCAAGACTAGCATCATGGCTCAGTGGGTTAGACCACCACCTGCCTGCCAGCATCCTACATGGGCACTGATGTGTGTTCTGGCTATTCTACTTCCGATCCAGATCCCTGCTAATGCGCTTGGTAAAGCAGCAGAGGATGACCCAAGTGCCTGGACCCCTCTACCCATGTGGGAAGAAGTCCAGATGGACTTCTATGCTCCTGGCTTTGCCTGCCCTTAGCCTGACCCAGCCCAGGCCATTGTAGCTATCTGGAGAGTGGACCAACAGATGAGATTGTCTCTGCTTCTCTCCCTCTCTCTCTTTCTTCCTCTCCCTCTTTCTTCCTCTCCCTCTCTCTCTTTCTCTTCTTCTTTCTGTGTAACTCCACCTTTCAAATAAATAAATGAAACCTTTACAATGATTTTTAAAGTAAAATAAAATATTTTGCAACCCATACCTGGCTGAGTATCTATTGTGTGCTAGGTCCACAACAATCCTGCAAGGTGTGTCTTATTACAGTCACTTCACAGATAAAGAAAGTAGAGGCAGACACCAAGAAAATTATTCAAAGCCATGCCGTAAGTAGTAAAGTCAGGATTTGAACTCAGAATTGCACAACTCCCAAGCTCATTCTGTTCCACCATGCTTTTACTTGCTGAACAAGAGCCAAAAATAGAAACTGAGAAGAAGTAGAAAGTGAAAGATGGATTTTTTTTTTCCAACTTCTTTTGAGTCTTCAAAGTTCTTTGGGGGAAAAAAAAAATCTCAGGCTAGTATGGTGGCATAGCATGCTAAGTCTGTACCTGCAAGCACTGGCATCCCATGTGGGCACTGTTCATATCCCGCCTGCTACACCTCTGATCCAACCTGTGATCTGGAAAAGCAGTGGGAGATGCTCCAAGTCCTTGCAGCCTGCACCCATGTGAGAGGCTGGTGAGAGGCTCCTACTCCCAGTCCTGGCCATTGCAGCCATTTCGCCTTCAGCAAATGGAAGACCTCTCTGTCTCTGTTTTGTCTTCTCTTTCTGTAAAATTCTGCCTTTCAAATTAAAAAAAAAAAAAAACTAAGTAAGTCTTTTAAAAAGTTACAAATGCCTAGATGACCAGAGACTAACACATCAATGTAAACACACCATTACGAACTGCTGATTGTATATCCACACTGTTTTTTGGTGTTGGGAGCAGCA